ACAAAAGAAATAAAAAAAACGCGAAGAAAAGTGATGAGAATTTACAAAAGATCACTCGTTTACTATACGCATAGTAAACAAATAGTACAAAGTCATTAAAAAATTTTTATTTTTGCGAAAGAAATCCCATTGAATTTTGAAATTTTTCGCCAGCAAAAAACAAATATATCGCTAAGGCCCGAAGCAAAGGCCTAAAATCTAGGCCTAAAGAATTAAAACTAAGAATTTTTGAAATAAATTTCTTAATAAATACTTCTAAACATATTTCAAAATTTTTCATAAAGCAACTCATAAAAATTTATTTTATCAGTTCCTTTATTTGATTTATCACGTTATCTTCACGTTAGGAAATTATTTAAGTGACACTCACTTCACCATTTGTGACTAAACTTACTCCAGTGAGTGTTAGTAAGATAAGAGAGAGTGGCAATATAAGTGTGCCCACCCAAAGCTTCATTCCTGGATAAAATAAATATCGAGCTTCAATCGCCAATTACGATTCTTACAACGAATAAATTGCTTTTGTGAGCGATGAAATAAAGAAGGAGTGGATGAAAATGTTAACTTTGTATTCAGTTGAAGAAATAGCAGATTAGAGCGGATCGCGTAAATTCTGTTTCACATCAACCAACATTTAAGCGATATTTTATCAAATGTTTGTCCGCCAATAATTTAATTTATAACTTATAATTTAGAATTTTTTCTAATAAAAAGCAATAAAAAAGGAATTTTATCAGAAATTTAACAAAAATATAGGAAAAAAAAAGAAGAAAAGGAAACCTTTCTTATAAAAATTCCATTTAGTTTTGCACATTAATATACGAATATACCGTTTCCCCACAATTAATTTTTTTTTTTGTACTTTTTTTCCAAATAAGTAACCTTTGACCTTAAAATAATGAAATAAAAGTAAAAAATAAAAGTGATTATTTAATAAAAATTGGAAAAATTTTCTGGCGAAAACATAAAAAAAAACAACAACAAGAAGAAATGACAACGAAAAATTGGAACATAAAATAATGATCATAGAAAAAAAAAACTTCCAAGATTTTTCAATTTTTCGAGTTTTTTTCATTTATTTTTTTTCATTTATAATTTATATAATATTTCTTTTCTAATAAAAAAAATTTTTCTCTCAAATTTCCTTTTCCAAAAATAATTTGAGCAAATTTTACTTATAATTATTTTACGCTGACTGATTGATAAGACAGCGTGAAACGTGAAACGTTTAAAACGACGATGACGAACAATAGATGACACGTTTAAGAGGTGCAAAGACGGTTCATAATGGGTCAAATTAAAATGAATATAATTTGGAGAATAAAGCAATTAGACGAAATTGGTTGAGTTAAAGTGTATAAGCGAGAACGAGTGGAAATGGACCGCCGAGACGCCGCTTTTCGCTACTTTTTTTTGTCGACTTAATTTGCCTTCCCTACAGCGAAACGTTTCTCGTTCGCCTCATTCCGAACGCTGCGAAACCTTTCGCCGAAGTCACACTACTCACGCAAAAATTGAAATTCGCAGAAATTTAAATTTACTCGCATAAAAAGGAAATAATCGAATCGAAAAGCCTTTAATAATAGAAATATATAATTAAAAATCACTCGTTTTTATTTAATTAATCTAAAAAATAAAATAAATTTACTATTACTAAATAAGAAGTGCGATGAGCGATTCAAAAAGGAGAAAAATGAATAAACTTTTAGATATTAAAAGGAAAATGAGCGGATGAGACGAGCAAATTAGGGCAAAATTCAGACAAAAAACCATTGACAAAATTGTGACAAAATAATTTATTTCATTTATTAGCCAATAAATGCGAAAATAAAAACGTCTGAAATGGAGAAAGGCGATAGGTGGGGATGGGAAAAAACAAAGAGGACAAGAGGGGGAACGAGGAAAGGGAGCTAAGAAAGCGGAGCGGGGGGGGGGGGGGGGGGGGGGGGGGGAATACCACTGAAAAAGCATCATCTTGTTCATCAACGAAATTCGTTCATAGACAACGATGACAACGACAACGACTGCGAAAAAATTTGTGAGAAATTTAGAAATGACAGAGAACAAAAGATAGACGAGAAAAAGAGAGAAAAGATAATGGAGACACATGTAAAAGGTGAAGAGAGTTGGACGACGAGACAACGAATAAAATTTTAAATTTTCTTTTAAAAATTTTTTAATGAGAAAAAAACGGAAAAAAATTTAATAAAAATTAAGTAGAAATAATAGAAAAAAAGGAAAAATTTGACGAAAATGACGGAAAAATCGAAAATCGAATAATTTCGTCCTTTCTTTCGTCATATTGAAAAATTTAACAAATATTAGAGAGTACGTAAAATGAAGAGATTATATAGAGAAAGTAGGTGACGAAAGAGTACGACAAAGGGCGAATTGAGAGAAAAAAGAACATTGAGATCGCAGGAGATTGGAGAGGATCAGAGAGAGAGAGTAATGGAAGAAATTGCAATCGGTTCGTTGCGATAAATTTTTTATAGTTTAAAGGCGTTCTGCGTTCTTTAACACAAAAAAAAATTTCTAAATTTATAGAAAATAATAACGAATAGGGAATAAGGCGGGACTTATTATGATAGGCGGGGTTTTGTGAGGAACATAGAAATAGGTGACCTGATATTAAGAGCGGGGAAATTAGAGAATTAATGGAGACGAGCATAAATCCAATGGAGGAAATTTGTGAAGGAAAAAGAAAAACGTTTAGGGACGCAGCACATACAAATGATCAACTGTCTCACCATTTCTGGTCAGCCAGCGCTTGCACTGCTGGTTGTTTGGCATCGTTTGTTTGTAAGAGATTGCCATTTTGCGATGCAAGTAGCAAATTGGCGAGAATGACCAATACAATTTTTCAACAGATTTAGCCAGTGTGGGGGAGGGGAGGGGAGGGGGATGGGATCGGGACTTGCGCTCCCAAAACGATAAGCGGCAACCACTGATGCCTAAACTTGAGGCGACCAAAGATACGGAAGTCGGAATTAGCAATGTAGGAAAAAAAGAGTGAAAATTGCAGTGAAAATTAAGGCACTTAAAATTAAGGAAGGCACTTTCATGGAGTTTCAACCATTATGAAATGTCACCGTAAAAGGCATGGAAACAAAGCAGAAATGAGTGGATAAACGAGACGGGGCAAGACGAGGGGGAAGGAATGCAGGCGGGGACGAGGCACTTCGAAAATCTATAAAAATGAACATTGAACTTCGTTATCAATGGAAAAAAAAAGAAGAAAAAGAGGAAATCTGTACATAAAATGACCTTGAAATTTTGAACGATAAATCCTTCTTTTAAGTGCACTTTAATCATTTTTTCTTTTAATAAAACAGGGAGAACGAGGAAATGAAATTCAATAGGAGGGGTGGGGGGGGGGGGGGGGGGGGGGGAGGACACACAAGAGGAACCTCATTTTCTCCCCGCAAAAAGGCTAAAGATTAACGAGTACCAATTTTTTTGCACTCTTTTTTAGCAAATTAAGTCAAATAAAATAAAAAGTAGAATTATTATTTAAATTATTTATCGAAATATTATTTGAAATTAAAATGAAATAAAATTAAAATAAAATTATTATAAAAATTAAGTTTTCTTTTAGTGAATTAATGAATTAATAAATGAGTGAATAATAATAATAAAATAAATATGAAAATTTTAGTAGCTAAAATGCAATTAGCTGCTATGGACTATAGAAATGAAAAAATTAATATGGACTATAGAAATAAAAATAGTTATAATAAAGTGTCGTCGACTATATTATATCAATTTTTCTAATGGCTTCAAGCAATTAGCAGCGTAAAAAGAAAATATTTCCAATAACTTAGTCAAGATCAAAGATTACAAATGAGGTCAAAGGTTAACGCATAAACGGTCAAAGATTACTAAGAAAGATTAAAGGTCAACAAGAGAATAGAAAAAAAGAATGGCACTTGCAGAGTACGCAAGTACTTTACATAAAAATTTTTAAAATATACGAAAATTAGAACAGAGAAAAAATATAATGGAATCGATGGAGAAGTGGAGAAACGAAAAAACAACCGCGAAAGAAAAATGTAAAGTCGTGAAAGAAAAAAGAATATAGAAATGGAGAGAGTTTAGAGATTAGCGGAAATATGTGATAGAAATAAGACAAGAAGAATAGACAATGCGGAATGGAGGGAATTAGACAAATTTCGAGGAAGCAAAGAAAAGACTGGAGAAAAAGCTAGAAAATAGAGGAGAAATAGTGTGAGGGAAGAGAGAAAAAATTCAAGTTGATCAATTAGATTGAGATAGAGGAACGGCCAAAGATCAAGTCGGATTGGGCTTTGTTTCCTCCTCCTTGAAAATACGAAGGAAGGAGGGCGTGCGGAAAAGGATAGAGGGGGATTAATGGAGGGACGGTGTGTGACGACGAGGCTACGTGGGATTACGTGGACACGGCGTGACGTGAGACATGAGGGAACAAGTTGGAGAATAGGCAATAGGAAAGAAGAGTGAGATTGATAGACTTTGTTGACTTAAAAAGCGTTGAGTGGAGATGACAGAATTAAACAGATAAAATATCGGCGACGGATAACGAAAAAGTATACTAGAAATATTCTCCAAAAAGTTCGTTTATACAAAATTATATTTGAAAAATTTAATATTTAATATTTACAAAATTTAATATAATATTTTTTAAATTTTTTTTAATATTTAATATATATATTTAATATTTACAATATTTTTTTAATAATTTATAATAGAAAACGTCAACAAAGGTCATATAAATCAGTAAAGTAGCCAAATAAGCCAAATGAGTCAAATGAGCCAAGTGATAAGTGAGAAAAGCTTCTCGCTTTAGGCCATAAAAGTTTCATGAATTAAAAATTTGATAGCTCATTAGACTAAACTAAAGAGCGTACTTGCATTATGAATTACGCGGGTTATAGGTCATCGATCTTTGACCTTTCAGGACACTTGCGACCCATTTATTTATTGTATTATTTTGTATTTTACTATTCACTCGTAATAAACGTTTATTTTTTGCTATAATTAAAATTAAAATAATTTTTTGGAATTTTTGAACGGAAAAATAGAAACCAAAATAAAAGATTATCAATTGATCGATTATAATTTGAATTTAAAATTTTTTGTTGTTCACGTATCGCATAATAAATCGCTTCAATTGTCGCCAAATATTCCATTCCATAACCTTTCTAAAATAAAAATAATGGCAATAGGTACAAGTGCTTTCGTTGTCCAGTGAATTTCACGTCTTTTCACGGCCAAATAAATTTCACATCCTTTCAAATGAATTTCACGTCTTTTCACATTCAAATGAATTCCACGTCTTTTCAAGTCCAATGAATTTCACATCTTTTTACGGTCAAATAAATTTCACGTCTTTTCACAGTCAAATGAATTTTACGTCTTTTCATAATGTCCAATGAATTTCACGTTTTTTCATAGTATCCAATGAATTTCATATTTTCCCATTGTCTAAGGAAGAATATTTATAGAAATAATTTTCAATAAAGAAAAATATTGATAAATTCTAAAATCAATAAAATTTTGCAAAATAAATTAATCCATGAAAAATTGTTTTAAGACGTCACTGGACAACGATATTAAATTATTTAAAAGTTAAAGCATAATGATTAAATTAATCATTTTACTTCGAAATGAAGCAATTTAATTCGATAAGATTAATTTAATAATGATTTTTAATTATTTATAATTATAGAAATTTCTTTTTATAGATTTCATTCTAATTAATTTTGAAAATCTAAAATCTATCGAAAAAAATTCTTTTTTTAAAAGTTTAATATAATAAAAAAATTTTAAATAAAAATTTCTAAAAATCTAAAAAAAAATTTTGAAAAAATAAATAAAAAATATTTTTTTTTATACTTGTGGTCTCCAAAAAAGTGTTTCGTAGGAAGACAGTCGAACAACTTGTAAGCGTTTCAACTGTGGCAAATTTCGAAGCATTTTTACCTGAAAATCGCTTAAAATGCACTTTTTCACTAAGTGATCAGTTTCATTACGATTTTTAGAGACAATTTACCGCAAAATACAACTGGCAACTTATCAGCTGTATAAAAATATGACAGCTAAATAGGCCAACTGCTAAATTCTGGATGGTGTCAAAAAGACAATCGAGACGTAGGCTAAAAGACAAGACGCTCAGCGATACACTTAGACTAATCAGCACGAAAAGGAGGTGACTTTCAAGCGTCTTAGGAACAGTTTATCTTTATAGCCAGCGGAACCAGCCCAGCCAATAACAGTTGTTAAAGGAAGAGGAAAAGCTGAGATATTATTGCCTAGATTATCATCTCTAGTGATAAAATTTGGACCCTGTATCCGACATAAAAAAATGTGAAGGGTCCTATGGATCCAATTATCGCCGAGTAACTTTTTGGCAAAAATCTCTCATTGTTACCAATTAGCCAATGAGACCTAATACAACCATATATAACTGCATCTAACTATACCATAATAATTATTTGTTTATTTATCAGCTGAAAAAGAGTATTAAGTAAAAATCGAAAAAAAAAATTACCTGATGCCAGGTGGAATCCAAAAAAACAAATCGCGAAATAGCACCATATTTATTAATATATTCCTGAAGCGTTAATGCTTTTTGCGATGGATAAACCAATACCTTCAATTTTAAAAAACTTCTATAAAAAATAGCCAATATGTTAGTATTTAAGCTTAACGTTGGCCTAGTTTCAGGTGTGGCATTGAATCAGAAGGCTTGGAGATAAAACAGTGGCAATAAGTAAAAAAAAAAAATCTAAACTATGGCTAGCTGCTTATAAGAAATGATATAAAAATTAACCGTATCAGTGCAATTGTTATAATCGAAATCCTTATCATTGTGATTAAACAGACGTGTTGATAATGGTGATAAAAGTAAACAGTGAATTGAAGTGCTCTTCGAACTTTTCTCTTTTGCATGTTTTATTATATCTATTTTAACAGGCAACTGAAATAAAATTTTTAAAAGAAATTAATTAATCGTCAATAAGATCGATTTAAAATTTTTTGTGATGAGTCGGTAATAAGGATGAAAATCGTTTTAGATATTGCGATAAGTGATAAGGATGATTGCAAGGATGCTGATAAAGAGTTTAAAATTCCCAGCTAAGCTAACTTATTTTAATTTTTCATGTATAAAGAATCACTTTAAAAATCATTATCTAACCTCAATGGTTGGTACCAATTCTTGTACTCCAGGCATATAACGGCGACAGTCGTAGCAAAAATACATTCGTTTTCGTTTACATATTGAACATTCCTGCCTCATTAATCCATCCAGTTTGGTGAATGATGAAATTTTAAATTTCTCCATCCTCAAAAAATTTCCTGTTGCCTTCTACTTAATGTTGAACATCACGGTTTCAGTCTGTGCAGTTTAACGAAAACGAGAAAACTCATTGAGTAGCATTGAGCAATCACTGCGGTCATTTTATAAAACCATCCATATTTCTATTTCATTACCTGACCGAATTTTCTCATCCTAATAGTCAGTGGAACCAGCCAAATTAGAAATGCGCATGGCGCAAGTAGGAGTGCGGTTCAAAAATTTCTATGTTTTCGAATTATATTTCGATTAAAGACGAGTAAGTTGATAGGTAAGCTGGTTTTGAGCTGTTGGACCAACAACCGTTATGCACTCAGACGGTGGAAAAAGGAATGGCTTCTATCACTATCAGCAATGGCATCAGATCGCGCAGCTTGCATACGTAGAGTCTTGTGGCCAGCGTAGTTGGCGTAAGCAATAATGCTGTGAACTGTTAAGTTAAAAGGGTACATGAGTACTTCTGCAATAGCCTACAAATGTTAACAAAAAATATTAAATGTTAACAATTTTCCTCGACTTCGACAAATCCTTTAAAAAACCCAATCCATGCTCCACAAAAAGAGAAAAACCGGTTCATCACCTTTGTCCATTCCTTTACGAGAATTCCACGGACTTTATAAACTCTCAAATCCAATAATTTCCAAAATTCAAAAAAACTAAGAGATACAATAGCTCAATGAGATCTATTGTTGCTCTAATCCAATATTCTACCTTTACAAAAATCTTTTCATTTTTTGATTTTTCTTTTGGGAAAAAATTCCTTTTAGGAATCCGCTGCATTGTGTTTTTTCAATAAATTTCCTACCACGCGGGATCTGTCGAAATCAATTTTTTAAAATATGAAATATAAAAATTTAAATAAAAACTGCAAAAAAAAATTTATTGGAAAAAATCCCACAAGAATCGATGTGCAAAAATTCAGAAAAAGACAAAACAAAATTTTATAAAATTTTTTACGAAAATAAACAATCCAATCGCTAATCGAATAAAGAATGGTAATATTTATTCATAATGAAGCTAAACTAGACGGTAAAATTCCAAAAAAAATTCAAGTTCAGATGTATCTTCCTCCCCCACCCTCCCCCCTCCCCCCTTCCTTTTCTTACATTCTGCATACTGAATGCGAATGATATTTTCAAGTTCATGCAATAAGGAATGACTTATGGAACACTGCTCATCACTTTATAATACAGTAAAACACGGTAAAGTTTTTTAAATTAAGAAATCCTTTTTCTTAAGTGATAGCCATTATAATCAAATTATTATCAACGATAAGTTATTATCAACCAAAATTTATAGTAACTCCAAGTACAAATTTAGTATTAAATTTAAAAGTGCAATAATGTTTCAACATACATATCAACATATATGAAAAAAAAATTATTTATTTTCCAGCAGTAACTTCAGCGGCACGACGAGCTGCAGCACGTTTTGTAACCATTGCGGTAAAACCACTTTTGATCGTCGAAACCGAGCAGCGACTTCCACATGTTTTACATTCCAAGAAAAATAAACGCGTATCTTTTATAAGTTGTGTATCCGACGAATGACACGTATGACACGTCACGTATTCTTTGATATATTTACGAAGAACACTTTCAAAATGTTTTTGTTGAAAACGTCCCTTAATAATTAAACAATTATTACCATCAACTGATCCGTTCGTACCCAATTCAGCAATTATAAAACGATAAACGTGTTTCGGTTCGCGTTTCAATAGACGACAAATTTCAGCAAAATTCGCGAATGCTGTCTTCTTACTACCAGCTCGCGCAATTTGCGGTGGCTTCATTAAGAATTTCTTTTTTTCATTACCTGTCAACTCGGGATTTTTCTCCTTAATTATATCAAAAATCATATGAATTAGTTCATCATATGTATAATCTGGCCATGCATGTTTTGCGTCAATTAAATTTGATAATTCATCAAATTTTGATAATTTTTCTTCCGCTCCTTTTTCCTCCTTAATCTCATTTTCAGTTGTTGTTGTTGTAAGTGCTGTTGATTTTACTTTCTTCTTTTTTTTCAATCCCAATACAAGTTCCTCACTATCACCTTCAATTTTTTTATTCTCGTCTGTTGCTGTTAATTCTTCCAATATTATCGGCTTTTTCGCTTTCTTTTTCTTACCAGTTAAATCCAATTTTAAACTATCGTCCGCCATTATTTCGAATATTCGAATAGTTATTTCTATTTCAAAATCTGAAGAATACTTTAGTAAAATTAAAATTATCGGTAATTTATATACAAATATTACCCACTGAAAACCTGGATTGCGATTTTTTGCAGCCATAAGGATTTCTTTTTTAACAGAATGTCTACCTTTCGGTCTTAATGATCCGATCGTCATCAGCTGAACTACGAATCAAATATTCTGTCCATTTCACAAAAAATTCCAGATATTTGGAAAATTAGAAAACAAATTAAGACCCACATATTAATGGACAGAAAAATACAAAAAGAACATAAATTTCGATTAGGATAAAAAATTAGATGTATAAATTAGATGAAAATAGGAACAATGTTACACAATCAAAAAAACTACTAACTTCGATATTAAAATTGATAAATTTAATGATAAAGCTTCAATACTTCGATAAGATTTGAAGATGGTTGATACAAAAATAAATTGGAAAAAATTATTCTGCAAAAATAAAAATAAATTCAATATAAATGTATAAACGTAAATGAAAAATATCTCCGGAAATATTTGAAAAACATATTATAAAAAAAAATATTTAAAAATTTAGCATAATTCAAACTATGCAAAAAACAATTTAATATATTTAATTTAATTTATTTAAATTAAAATTATTATATTAATATATTATTTTATTAATATTAATTAATTTTATTAAATTAATTGATAATTAAAATTATTATATTAATATATTATTTTATTAATATTAATTAATTTTATTAAATTAACTGATTGATTGATTATATTAATCAATATAATAATTAATATATTAATCAATATATTAATAAATGACTTTTGAGTTAAATGACTTAAATGAAAAAAATTTAAGGCAAAATTGTTTCCATGTTCCTATCCAATATAAACCGCAAATTAAATCAAACAAATATCGCTTCATTAATAATACCTCGCAAAATAATACCATGAAAAAAGACGGATCAATTTTCTGTAGAAAATTACCAATACTAACAATATTAAATGAATTCTCTTATTTTTTTCTTTTGACGGTAATATTTCTAATTCCACTTAATATTAATGTGCGAAATTTTTTCCAAAGAACTGCTTGCCAACTTGTGGACTTAATGATAATTACCACGAAATGGCGAGAACAAAATGCAAAATCCTCGAACTAGCATTTGCCTTATCAAAAAATTAATCATCAATCCATCAAAGAAGAGATAATTGATAATTTTCGAGAGTTCAAAATAGTGCGTCTTGAACCAAAATCACCGCTGAGGAAATATAAACTGGATAAAGGAATTCGAAAGAGATCTCTTTTCAAGAAATTCTTCTGTACAATAATGAACCACACTGCTCTTAATACTTTTACTTTCATTACTAATAAATAATAGGAAAATGATAGGAATTGAAAAAATATGTGCCCTCAACCCAATCGAACTATTTAAATAATATGAGACGAATGAAGCAAAGCAATTCTTTTCCCAATTCCCAAGCAACAATACTGTGAGAAATCGGCTTACTAGACATCTCTGTGAAAATTTTCATTTCGCTTCTACTGAACAGATTTATTGCAGAACGAGACAGCAGGATACTCATTCAAGCTAGAACCAGACCAGGACACAGCTGTGCTGAGCAGATATTCACGATAAAAAAGGTGTAAAAAAGGTGAGCAACGGAAATATCGGCAGCCCTCCATGTTTCATCACATGTTTCATCAATTTTGCAGCTGCCTTCGATTTAATCGGCACTCGTGCTGTGATGGAATGTAATAATATTTTATGGAAAAGATATTCAACTTATAAACGTGCATATCGGCACAGATCTGTGGGAAACTGATAGACCGTTTTAAAATAAGAACTTACGTCCGTCAAGATTCTTTCCTTCTCCTGTAATATTGCGATGGACTGGATAAAGCACAGCATTTGTAAGCACTTAAGAGGTTCAAATCATTCCAGAGCATCATATCATAGATCTTGAATACGCTGACGATGTAGCCCTTTTTACTCATTTTGCAATTATGACGAAATTCAAACAATGCTAAACAATGTGTCGGCAAGTGCAGCGAGAATCGGACTTAGGGTCAATGTAAATACGAAAGCCTTCTCGTTTTGTAAACAAGAAGCTAATAAAATGCCTAAATTATTGCCGATGGAGTGTCCGATTTTAAATATCTTGGATCCACTCCCAGATCGCCAGACAAAGAGTAAAAATATAACCAGGACAACGTTAGCTAGAAACATGCCCTTCTGGCTAATAAAATCCTTAAGTCCACGTCTATATAGCTGCGATTCGCTCAATCATGCCATACGGTTGCGAGATATGGCCAACGAGAGTGGATGATATTAGGAAATGGAGGATATTAGTAAAAAGTGGAGGATATTGGAGGCCCTTGTCCACTCATTTTTAAGATAAATTTTAGATTTGCAGAGTGGATAAAATCTCATATGATCGCACCTATCTTCGCTCAAGTATTAATACCATTCGCTGATTAGGGCACGTTCTTCGTCGCCACCAAAGGAATTGATACTTATTTTGTTATTGGCTAAATCTTTTGAAAGACGGCGTCAGAAGCGAAGTGGTCCAATGAAAACCTGGACTAGCGTAGTCATATTCACTTTGAATGCATAGATGGACCAACAGTATATGGAACCAGACGACAGAAAAAGGAATGGCTTCTCCTACTGTCAACAATGGTGAGATTGCGAAAAATGGAAATATTTTACTCTTCATTCTAGCCATTGTAATGATCAGCCCAACCAGTAATGATGATGGCCGTTAGAAGAAGAGCTATAATGCATTTACATAACTTTATTCACCAAAAATTTTTTGTGATTCGGCAACTAATTTGGGAAAAATCCATGAATAAATATATTTAAAATAACCATAAATTTTTTCAAATACAGAAAATCGAAAAACGAAATAAACGGTTTTCTTTAGAAACAAAACCAAAAACCGAATATTATTTATTTTATTCGAAAATAATTAATATTAGAAAAATGATCAAATTGTTGCCAAATTGAAAAAAATCAATCAAAATAAATCGAAAAAATTTACTTCAGAAATCGAAAAAGATTAACGTCGACAGAAGAAAAACTTTTAAAACAATAAGCGGAAATAAAAAGTTTTGGATATTACTATAAGTGCTATTAAACTAAAAGAATAACTATAAAATAAACTTAAAAATTTATGGAAGAATGTTATTGCTATATTAACGTTTCATGAAATAGAATTAAAAAATAAACCAATATTAATAAATTAAATTAGATTAATAAGTCGAAAAACACTGCAATAATTCCAAAAAATATAAAAATAAAATGATATACAATTCAAAAAATATTCCTATAAATTGTTATAAATTTCCCTATATTACTTTTAGATTTTACAGACTAAACTAACTGGTGATAAGAAATCAATCTTTCTAACCATACAATCAAATATTTAAAAATTAATCATTTCGTAAATATCAAATACATCTAAAGCAATCCATTTCGCTCGTCGCTGGGAAAAAAATAAATATAATTAGAATAAAGTACTATTGTGTTATACAGGTGGAAAAATCGCAAAGACCGATTAAACTACCAAAAGTAAGGTTCTAAAAATGAAAATGACAAAGTAATATAAAGCAAACCAACTGTTCACCTTACGCAAAGTCATAAGAACAAATTTAAAAAAGGAAAAAATTACCCAAAAATGAACTTAAATATTATAGGAAAGAACTGATTAAAATTTAATTGTTCAAATTTTCTAAAAGAACTAAGATTTTATAGGGAATACAATCGTAAAAAATTTAAAAATCATGGAATAAAGTAAATTTTTAAATATTTAAAATTGTGACAAAAACTATCGAAAAAATATCGAAGAATTACTATCGAAGAAAAGATATCGAAGAAAAAATCGAAGAAAAAAAATCGAAGAAGAAGAATTGGAAAATTACTTCTAAAATTATAAAAGAAACCCATAAAAAAGAGCTTAATAAGATTTTTTTCTATCCACTCAAGTTCCTTTATGAGAAAGACATCAAAATACTGAGATAACAGATAACATAATCAATAAATCTTCAAATCATGCCAAATAATCATTTCGATATAACATGTATAAAACAATTAATGCATGAAATAACCAAAGAAATATACTAGATTCAAAAGAAAAATTTACTCTTGTAATGTGATTGACCTAAATTTTGGTAAAGAGCTCATTATTTAAATAAGTAATGGAAAAAAATATAAATTGCACGAAAATACAACTGTTGTAAGCAACATTCATGTTAGCGTTTTTTTCTGGAAAAAATAGAAAAGATACGCCACTTGGAACGTCGACGATCAGATGATGACGCTGTTGATCGACTTAATGATGATGATACTCGCTTATCACGACTAATTGCACGATATTTGTCGCTGCCATTTGAAGAGGAAAGTGAAGTTATAGTACGCACACCTGAAATCTGAATATCATTGGCAGAAAAAAAAATGGGCTGAAGCTTTGCTTTGTAAAAGCAAATATATAAAAAGAGAGACCCTTACGACCATTCCGAATTCATTTTTCTCGATAAATCTAATTTCTACGAAGTGTGAAATCCTATATATATGCCTATATGCCTATATGCTATATGTCTTGTGCTATTCAATTTGCTCGCCAAATAATGACCAGTTCATAAAAGCAAGAAATATTTTTGAAAATATAATTTAAGGTTTATATACAGAAAACATAGAACATAAAATGAACCTTTCAATGATCCCTCGCCATTTTCATTATCGGCGGTTAATATATTTTTCGTATACGGTCGAAGTAACATTGAACGAAAACTATTTGATATAGGATTTTCTGAACTGATCCTGAAATAAAATAAAATTTATTTCTTATCCCAGTAGTGGAATCAAAGCATTGAAATTCAAAAATTCAATTAACTGGTAAATTACCAAAAATGAATAGATAAAATCTTACTCGTCATCAGACTCATTGGCTACATCATCCGAAACTATTTGTTTCATTGCATCAAATAATGCTCTGATATGGAAACGATCGGCATTTGACTGATCAATTGCATCACTGAAATGAGCAGCTCGAAGGTTAGATATGGCACCTTGCGAAGATATTCCCTGGAAAAAATCTAAGCTAGATCAATTATGCTACTATCAAAAGTTTCCTTTTTTTTAATTTTGATCATCATAACAAATGAAAAAAGTAAAAATGGCATTAAAATATATATATATATATGTATATATATAATATATATAATATATGCATTTGTTAAAAAAATTTACTCACTCCAGTTGAGCTATACGAAGTTTTATTTATAGCTGCAGATGAAGATGGACGAGAATATGAGCTTTCATTTGTCAGATGTATTGCAGTATCTTCGTTCATTAGAAATAATTCGATTTCACCTTTTTCTAAAACAAATTGTAAAAGAACCACGAAAAACAATTGAGTGATGAAGAAAAGAAATGTGAATAAGTATTTATTGCTAGATAAAATGTACATTTTAAACGAACCTAAATTATTAACGACATTCAGATTCGAAATCTGATCAGAAGGTGAATGTGATACTTTACGTATATTTCGTCTACCGCTGCTATATGATGACGTATTACTAGCTGCTCTCCCATGTAACTTTCCAATTTCGTAAGATGAATTAGCATCGTCTCTGCAATCAGTATAATAAATAACAATAATAAGTTTAGCAAGAAACAACTACTTACTGAAAGTATATGCTAAAAAATATAAAATATATGCTAAAAGTATGTGATAACGATAAGAATTGTTTGAAATTTTATTTCTCAGAAAAAAAATATATAAAGCAAAAATAATTAAAAGATGCATACTCTAAATGAGTGGGCAATGAATCCTGATTACAGTGACTGTAATTAGAACGGTCTTCTTCTAGAAATTACTTTTTACTTGAAATTACTTGAAATATTATAAATATAAATTATTTCGAACAAAAAAAATTCTATCGTAAGCAATACCACGCCATAAGCTAAATAATTAGAAAAATATGATCGAAAAAGAAGCTTACAAAAAAGAACCTGATTTATGTTGAGGATCACAAGCAAATAAGGCTTGGTGGGATGTTGGACTGACATCTCTGTCCTTGCAACAAATCTGATTTGTGTGACGCCCACTCGCACTATCAGATAAAGACTTTGCATCAATAACTGAACCAGCTAAGGCTACCGTACTAGCTATTTCTTCGCAATAACTAATAGCTTCCTGACCAGAGCAAATCGTGTGAACACTCTGTAATTCATTCCAGAATATTGTTTGATAAAACCATTTTTCGCATACACCAACCCAAAAAGAACGAAAAAATAAAAAAATATATTTAAGTATAATAAATAAATATATTTACTATATATATTTATAAATATATATTTAAGTAAATTAAACCTTATCATCACAAAATTGAGAACCGGCCATCGCTTTCGTACTGGCCTCTTCGTAATTGCATTTTTCTCCAAAACTTAAAACACCTTAAAAAGACCTATTAACAGACTTCTAGAGTCGAAAGATTAGTTAGGAAAAAAATTATTTCTAAGAATACAAAAAATTCCATAAAATTCATGGATTCAAACCTACAGTAAACTCCTACAATAAAGTCGGTACATGCATACTTAGAGGCAAGATTATAGAATGGCACGTTACTTCGATTAAGATCAAGTATAACAGGTCGCACCCTTCAGATGGCAAATTTACTATCAAAAATAATATCTGGGCAGTGCTGTGATGTACCTGTGTATCTCTAAAGAATTCTCAGGAACAAAGGATCTCCACTCTAGTAGCGCCAAGTTAAAAATGGTGCATGTCGTTTAAAAAAAAGAAAGGAATAAAATTCACAATATAGCTATGAGAAAGAGAAAATAAAAAATAAAAAATTTTGAAAAAAACGACAAGAAATATAAAAACCTGATTCAATACTAGGTCTTCGACGACAAAGTTCTGCCTTAACGCGAACAGTAGTATGAGTTTGCTGAGATGATAAACCGCTGTTGATTGAAACACCTGTTATTAAAGAAGTATCGTCAAAACGTTCAATTTCGTTCAATAAACGAGATTTTTCTTGATTTCCTGAAAAAATTTCGATTACGCCTTCGTTTTGGTGAATAAGCAAACAGTTAAGCAATTAGCTCTCACCATTTCTATTTCTAGTAAGAATAGTTGATAATACGATTACAAATTTTTAATGGTTTGACGAATAAAGTACTGAATCTGAATCGCAAGCATAATTTTTTTGTGGGTTAATTCTTACCACCAAGAATCGAATCCCTAATGCTAACGCATATCGAACTCGAATATCCTATCTTTATTCCATGTTAACAGCACAACTCTATTAAATCATGGTTGTAGTTTTCATTAATGCGTTAATGATAAATACCGTTCAGATCATGCCAGATTTCTTCATCATCAAGTTCATTTCGATCAGAAGATGATGAAGCTGCACCAACACCACAACCACCATTTCGACATAATGAAAGAGGAACAACACCATAAACATAAGCAAGCATTATTGGCACACCCACACCTACAAACAAATCTTTAGGAGTAATCTATTAATTTATAAATTGCAATATATAAGGATTTAGAAAAAAAGCTCACCAACTGCCATTACAGCTAATACCGGACTAACAACTAAAGATCCAATAACACTTCCAGCTGTTAATAAACGACGACGCACTCTGGAATGTTGAGCAAAACGCTGATTGACCTTTCTAAAAGTAAAACTAGGCCAATCAATTCACCTCATCAAATGCAACTTAATTGAATGATTAAATGAAATGATCTTTTATTTGAATAACAACCAAAAAGAACTAAATAGATGTGGTGGGGTCGACTATAAACTATAAAATTCTACCTTCCAACAAAAACTGGAACGCCGAAAATGATGCCAGGTATTGCAAGACCAGCAATAAGAGCAATTCCAACTGGAGCTCCAATAAGTGTTCCAACCTGCCAGAGTAGCTTTTTTTTTCTAGTCCATGGTTTTTTTCCCCAAAATGTGCATCCAGTTGGACTAAAAGTATTTCTATAAAAAATTTCAAAAAAGAAAATTATAAAGAAAATAATTTCTAATCACGTGAATTACTAATCACCATTTTTATACGAATTCTAAGATTAAAAAATATTGTTGAATATCTATCTATAAAAGGTGGTATGTTATGAAAAAAATGACAAACACTTCAGAAAAGGGAGAGAAAATAAATTTTTCGATATTAAGAAGCATGAAAACCTCAGATAATGAAGATCATTGATTTCTCTCAAACACAACCAGCAAAACTGTGCACTGCACATCGCACAAGCCATATGGTTGCACGATCCATCATCCAACTTAACTATATAAGTTCGACAACGAGGACAAGGCTTTATATCACCACCTAAAAGCTCTTTCAATTGTTTTAAAAGCATAAAAGAAAAGCGATAAACAATCAAAAAAAAAATATCTATAATTTACGTTTCAACTGGTTCCCGAAAGACTGACGGTGACGTCGTGGAACCGTATTTCTTAATTTTCGACCACGTTCACGGCGCGCTTCATCACAAGTTTGACTAGCATGCCATGGACCTTTACAATGATAGCAAAAAAGTGTACCACATTTCTCGCAGTGTAACTCAGGACAAGCTGCACACGATGTTGCAATAACAGCATAACTAAAATTGAAATTAATAATGAAATAAGATAATTTGGCACATCAAATTTACTTTACTTTATATGTTTCATTTAAATACTGATGCCAATTTTCTATTAACACACATTATTTTTGATTGAATTCGCTATATGCAATTGTTTCGACAAAAGGTCAAGTGGGAAAAGAGATACTTAGGTTTCAATATCAGTGCTGTTTGTTTTGAACCGAGATATAATTATGCATCGAAAATTTCGAATAAAAAGCCAGAAAAATGACAAAGTGAAGCTTGATGTTATGCAACACAATATAAACATCAATAAAATAAGTAACCAACGTGCAGTCTGGTGCTGGACACCAACGTGTATCAGGATCTGTCATCAAAACTCGTCTAAGAGAAAAGTTTTCATATTTTTCTATTAAATCAGGATGTTGAACCATAAGTGAGTAAATATCAGTGGGATGTAAGAATTCACTACATTCCGGACATGTTATTTGCACACGACTTTCCATTATTTCAACTTGTAGATACTAAAACGTATTTACTTTTATTTCATAACTGAATTTCTTATCATTATTTTCAATGAATAATACAACAGACTGATTGAAGTGGCAGATAAAATGAAAACAGTTAAATAAAAATGATTACAATGCAGATAAAAATTTTACATTTGTGCAAAAATACCAATAAAATGCTTATTCAGTCAAAATCAAACAGACGACTTAGCAAAATGTAATCATCTGATGTTTTTTATGTTAAAATGAAAACTTCAATTTAAATTTAATTATGTTTTTTCTTAAGTTAAAAATCTTAGAATAGAAATACCTTAGATTGAACTACTTACTTGTACAAGACAACTTTTACAGGAACGATGATTACAACAAGCCAATTGGGGGAAATTCTTCTCCGATTGACGAATAAAACACAATGGACATTCTCGCAATTTTTTCGCACTGTTCGATGTATTATTTTGTGAAAATTGTGCAGGGCGTCTTACAGTGGGTTGCGCAGCAACACCATCATCATTTGAATGTATACGAGGCTCATTAAAATCGCCATCAACGCGACAACCAGAATCAAGGTCTAAATATTCATAAATAATTTATTAAAAATATTCGTACTTCAAATAAAACTAATAAGCTAATAATTAACTAAGTAATTAAATGATTAAAAAATAAACTAATAAACAGTTAAGAAAAATGCAAAACGCAGAAACAAACCGCTGTTTTCTATGACAACTGAATCGACCGAATGAGAATCATCGTTGCTTAGCGAACGACTTGTTTGTAATGTACTACAATTGATCTTATCATTTACCTCAACTTGTCCGCAATATTCGCCGACATTTAACGATTTTATATCAATAATTGAACAATTCATGACTTTTCTTTTTAAACATTCGTTTTTTGATCCATCACTAAATCTGCAAAAAATATTTATCTTAAAATTTAACTGTCGATAAAGTCGAATCAATTCTAGAGATCCACCTACATACATACATCTCCATCGATACGTCAACCTATAGCGAAAGAAATTCCAACATCTAGTGCAGAAATTATATCTGTATTATCTGTATCATCCTAATAATCGATAATTTTTTTTTTAAATTATCTTCAAATTTGTCTTTTTTTAAAATTTAATTATTTTTTTTAAATTTAATTATTAATTATCTCTATTTTTTGTCCTTGACGAGTCACGATTTCAAAAATCCGCGTGGCTGCTAGAGACCTACCTATATCTTTATTTCCAAGTGATTTTATGATGAAAAGGTCAGCCCTCTTTGACGCGATGTTCGTCCATTCCGACACGCATGCTACTTCTGACCCGGTAGTAAATGCGATAAATATATGATCCGGGCAATACAACGATAATACATAACGATAATACAACGATAGTTCCAAAACACAAGCATAGAACTTGCTCGCTAACCGACAAGTAAAAATCCATCAAAACCCGTCAAGGGAGGTGAGAACCTATCCGCTAACATTTTTTAAGCGTGATGAGGAGGCGAGCTGCTTGGAAAATCAGAGTGGTTATGGATTTTTGCAAGCCTAGCAATCACTGTCCACATCGTTTCTAAATACCACGTAGACGTGGCTTATTTATCGTCTTTCTCAAGTTGGCTCTCGAGTAATTAAACTTGGTTCCGAGCAAAGATATTAGCTATATTATTGTGATGTCTCGGATGACTCAGTGCGAAATGGCGTAGCGATTGTTATGTCTGCAAAGGCTCGATCAGCTCTGATTAAATGGAACCCAGTAAATGACCGTATAGCCTACGCGCGTTTCAAAGGAATTCGGCAATATTTCAGTCATCAGTGTATATGCTCCAACTTTATGCTCAGATGACCGCGATAGGGATAAGTTTTATGCGGAGCTTCAACAATATTCTTACAGAAAGGTGAAATGGTCATAATCAGAGGAGATGCACGCCTAGTACACGATAATTGTCAAATATGGCATCGGGGCCCAGTGCACCAATGGAGAATGCCTTCTTCATTATAGTTTCTTACTTCATTATACTTCATTATACTTCTTTCGGCATAGGAGGAAACATCTAGTCACATGGAACCAATATTTCAATTAGATTGATTATATATTGGTCAGCCATTGCTGGAAGAGTTCTGCACTTGATAGTCGTTCTTATTGAGGTACTAAAACTGGCAACGCCATGGATCAAATCTATGGTTCAAGTCAAGATCCGTACAAAATTTACGACAAGTCGTAAGAAACAACGCATCCCAAGAACTTTCAGTTATCTGAAATTCAAAATTCCGGGAAAAATAAGCGCATTTCAAACCGTATTACAGAAACACCTCAGTGAAAAGAACACGTCAATATCTGACACCTCTGGAAAGGCGAATGAATACTGGTCCCAACTAAACATACCAAAAAAAGTCAGCCACATAGTTAGATGTCGGAAACAACTGTCCAATGTCTGAAAAAGCTGCCAACGACCGAATGTCACAAGATCATGACTATTGTGTTACAACGACAGCAGCGCGGCGAGAAATCGCTACTAGAGCGATATGGCCTTGAGAATGGAGGCGACAGCTCAAGTAGATGAAAACAAGAAACTATTTCGCCTTCTTCACAAAGCAATTATAACTCAAGAAGGGATTAGTGAAAGTGTACAGGATATTAATGGCCTATTAAGGATCCCCTGAGAAAATGGAAAGAATTTTTTGGTGCTAAACTTATCCACGTTGGACGCCAACTGATTCGTCTGTCAGGCCATATGTCTGCAACATCGAACCACCAACAAAAGAGAAAATAATCTCTCTAATCCATAATCCATAAGCATACTCTAATAAAGCTCTCGGAGATGCTTTTCGAGCCCAACTCTTCAAATGTTGTCCATTATCGTTCATAACTCAACTTCAAAAAATGTATTTTCTGGTACAAGAAAATGAAATAATACCAGAAAACTGAAGCAAAGCAGACGTACAGAGGAATTAGCCTACTAGACATCTCCGGAAAAATTTTCGCTTCTCTTCTGCTAAATAGACTAAATGCTAAATGGCAATACAAGATAGCGGAATGTATCCTAATCAAGTTGGATTCACATCTTGACGAAGTTGTACTGACCAGATATTTAAGATAAGAAGGATGCTGGAACAAATACCAGCAACTCACAGTCACTTGCTTTATCGATTTTGCATCTCCCTTCTCCCTTCGATTCGATTGATAGAGCAGCGCTGCGAAAAGTGATGGAATGTGACGATATCCGAGAAATCATTCAGCTCTAAAGGCATTTTATCAGCATACCCTGGAACAGATCTGTGTATTTGAGGAATTGACAGACTCCTTCGAAATAGGAACTTGCATTCGTCAAGGTTGTATCCTTCCTCTACGATATTCAATTATGCAATAGACTGGATAATAGGCATCGCTTGTCGGTACTCAAGAGGTGTGCGAACCAATCCACAGCATAGCATCACTGACTCTGATTGTAGTTCTTTTTGCTAACAGTTATGGGGAAATGCAAATAATGTTAAATAATGTGCCAATAACTGCAGCGAGAATTGGGCTCAAAATCAATATAAACAAAATGAAAATTTTCGTTTTATATGCAAGATGATGATAAAATACCTATTTTTATCAATTCATTGCTGGCTGAGGAAGTGCGCGACTCTTGGATCCACTTTATTCCGAAAGCCAGGCAAAGGATGAAAAACTGCAACTGGGATGACAACAGCCAGAAATATGTTTTTCCCGTTGATGAAACCTTTAAGAAAAACCGTCGCGAAATCACCATAAAGACGAAAATTCGCGTCCATATAACGGCAATTCAGTCGATCTTGCTATAACCTCGAAAAAGGGCCAATGAGAGTGGAAGATATTAAGAAACTATCAATCTTTGACTATTCTTTTCTAAGATACATTTTACGGATCCGTCGAGCAGATAAAATCATAAGTAATTGTATCCACCTTCACTCAAATATCACCTGTATTAATAATGTTATCATAGAGCGTTGGTTAGGGCACGTTCTCCACCACAGGAGTTCAGCATATTTCGCTTTGTAATGGATGGGGTCGAAAGCGAGAAGAGTCAAACATAACCTGGACCAATACAACCAGGAAATATTTAGAACATATAGGGGGATCAGCGATATATGAAGTTAAACGATGGAAAAAGGAATGGCTTCTATTGCTACTAGCGTCGGATCGAGCAGCTTGGAGACATCCTATCCTTGTAGCTAGCGAAGTTAGCCTAACCAGTAATGGTGAGGGTTGTTAGAAAAAGAATAATTGATAACCAATCACTGATAAGTATGAATACATTCGATAATCAAAGCAAAAAGATTAAAAAATAGAAATGATAAAGAGCATTGAAGAAAATTTTCGATGAATCAGAAAATTTTTTTCTTAGTCCATAGATGAGTATGAATAAGAATAAACCTATCCCGATAATAATTTTTTATGATTAAAGCCTATCTAGAGAAAGAAAACAGCGTGCCGTCCGTCTGATTACAAACGAAATCAGACAAAGAAAAATTTCTATAAAAATAAATATAGAGGAATTATAAGAAATGGACAAACAATATATGATTGTTAAGAGGGGAAAAAAAATGGAATTAATCAAGCAGATAAATCATATGATTTTAACAAATCAATAAAAAATCGCTAATTTTAATCCGAAATATTTATTTGCATCTTATTATGATTCAACTCACTAATTCTACATTAAAAATTGATTATCGTATCATTAAAAATGAAATTCGAAAGGTACTATAAATCCAAACTCATTTATACATACCTTACATTGTTATCCTCTTGAAAATGTGGACTTTTGGCCAAAATTTCACAATATTTTGATCGTTTTAAATCAGCAGACGATGACGATATGCACTGTTTCGATGTAACTAACTGCTTATCGTTATTGATGGAGTATTTCAAACGTTTTTTACCTTCTAGCGCCGTAGGAATTCTTTTACGAGTAGATGGTGCCAGTTCAAAAAGAGAAGTAAAATTAAACCGAGTACCATCATGATATGAATATTTCCGTGCTTTACCTAGAAAAAAAAGCCGAATTTGTGTAAAAATTTTCAGTAGCGATTCTTGTTCCTTGACAGCAATGATTAAAAAAACCTGTTATCAGAAGTGAAACCTTGGAAGTTGCTCTATATTTATACCTTACATTTTATACTCTATTTTATTCTTTTTGCTGAAATATTTTGAGGATGGACAAAAAATTACTCGAAAATATAATTTATTGACCTCGCACATAAGAGATATGAGAATTAAGGCTGGCTTACTGGTCGTGTATACCAAAGGATATAAAAGACAAGAAGATAAAGGTTGAAAATTCTACTTCGAACCATCCAATAAAACAATTACAAATAATTAATTCACGCAATTCTGTTTTAATTTTGATTATATTCGATTAATATTTGATTAATAGATAATTATTACTTGAAAAAAATTTTAAAAAATCATCTGACTTTCTTGTAAAATAGAAATATCATCAGCGAATTTCACCGAATCACTTCGATCATCGAGTAAAGAGGATGATTCTTCAATTATTTCTTCACCTTCCACGACTGTTCCTAATGGATTTTTCGAATTCATGACGACCTTTCGTCATACGACTATTCGTTCATAATTTTTCCTTTAAAACATCCTAAAAGACGAAATGAACGAATTTATAGAACAAATCAAATAACTTTAAACATAAAAACAAAATTTTATAGATAATAATTTTAAAATTTTACTGATTATTTTAGATAACTTTAAGTACCACTAAAATTCAACCAGAAACATCTCAAAACTATGTGAAGTATTATTAAAATTTTTTCTTCCTAAAGAAGCAGCGAAGAGAGAAGAAAACAACCCTCAACTTAAAATGAAAAATGATCAGAAACAATTTTTCCATAAAA